CTCCCATCACCCTAGGCTCAGTATACCGCGAGCTGTAGCTTGCGGTATACCGCGAGCTGCTGCTCGCGGTATACTGAGGCGCCGCAGCTGAGGCGGATCCCAACAATTGTGCCGGGATCCGCCCAGCTGCGTGACTGACAGCTGGCTCTGCCTATCTAGAGGCAGAGCCAGCTGTACCCGCCCCCTTCCCCGTCCGTTCCGCCAGTCAGCGCTGGCAGATCGGAGCGGGGGAATCCAGCCCCTCCCCTGTCACGGCAGAGAGCCACGACAGGATCGAGAGGTGAGCGAACGCCGGTATGTGTTCGCTCACCTCCCGATCTACTGAGCCGACCTGTGACAGTCTCATTGTCACAGGTCGGCTAGAACTATGAGGTGAGTGAAAAGCACTCACCTCATAGTTCTCCTTTAAAAACTAGTTTATATGGACACAGGTTAGCATGTTGTGGTACATTACTGATAATCCTTACTATATGCTACAGACATGCGCAATGCTAATCTCACCCTATGTTTATTTAATCAAACATATTATGAATGTATATTAATGAAATCTAACCAAATCTTTTTAAGATTCTATAGCAGCACAAAAATCAAAGATGTAACAATGAAAAAAGGGTAATTGTAGCATATACTGTACAGCACTATTTACAAAAAAATACAGAGTAATAAATACAATACTGGAACATATATACACTATACATAATATATATGTACACACACATACAGTATGCACACACACAAAGAGCCACTCTTGGCTAGTGTACACATGATGGATGTCTTGTCTGTGGGAGATCAGATCAAATCTGGGGGGGAAAAAAAGTATGCCTACTCCAACCAAGAAGCTGTCAAAATTCTGAAAATTCTAAGTCATTACCTGATAACTCCTTTTCCATGAATCTTCCAGGAGAGTTTATAAGAGAGATGGCTCCACCCACCTGCAGGAAACAAGGTCACAGAGTTTAAAAGGCTCCCAGGAGCCATCACCTTCAGTTAATAGTAATATGACTGACAAGCCTTAACCATAAATACAACAAAGACAGGCACAAAGGGAGGGAAGATCACCGTCCTGGAGGATTCATGGAAAAGGAGTTACTGAATAATAATTTGAGTTTTCCCAAATCATCCTCCAGGATGGGAAAATAAAGAGACTAGCAAGATGTTACCTAGGGTGGGAGCACTGGAGCACTTTCCTGCTAAAGGCTTGATCTTGGCTGGACAAAAAGGTCAGTCAATGCTTTACAAATATTAATGCTAGTCCATGTGGCTACTGTACAAAACTGCTCAATAGAGACACTGGCTCTTTCATCTCTTTCGGACATGTAGAAAGACCATGTGAAATGAGCTGTAATGCATAGGGGAGAGGTTTTCACTGCTGCTGTGTAAATGATGCTAGTCAACAGGCAGGTCAATCTTGTAATTTGTACTTTGAATGCTTTATTTCCTCTGTTGAGTTTACTGAAGAGAAAAAGAGGGCATTAGATTTTCAAAATGACTGAGTGCTCTTTCTTGTATCTTTCACAATCCAAAGTGGCGAACCTGTCTTCTATGGGGGTTAATGCTTGTGGAGAGAAGGATGGTAGAGGCACTTCCTGATTCCTGTAAAAACTTATAGTCACCTTAGACAGGAAAGTCAGATCACTCCTCAACTGTTCATCAACTGCTTTGAAGCAACGTAAGAAGGGTTCCTCCACTGTAGGGAGTTGAATTTCGATGATCCTACAGGCAGATGTAATAGCAACTAGTGATGCCAATTTAATGGCGAGGTGTTTGATAGGAGTGTTTGTAATTGGCTCAAAGGGGGAGATGTTAAGTCTATCTACAACTATCTGCAGGTCCCATGGAGGTATTGTTAGGACTTTTGAAGGTTTGACTCTAAGAAGAGTTTTGAAGAATTGCTTAACACTGATAGGGCCACGACATTAACTTTTTTTTAGTCAGATTTTATTTTTAGAAACGTTTCCTGTATAGGACAGACAAAAAGAGGTACGCAGAAACATTCTTGGTCATGCAGGACAAGAATGCAGACCTGCAAAATGCAGCACATTACACTTTTACAGTATTACAGATTACTGGATAGCACTGGGAGCCATCTAATACATAAATAACTAGGCAAAAGCACAGTAAGGAAGGTATTAGACTTTCCAGGCTTTAAGCAGAAAAGGTACACATTAGATCAAACAAACAGGACCTTATGGCCTCAAATTTACACATTGTGTTACATATAAAATAGGTATCGTTTTTAAAAGGAGAAGGAGCCCTGGCCAGACCCTGCACAGCCCTGGTGAGCAACACAAGAGTATGTAGCTTCATAATATTCTGCATTGCTGTATAATGCATTGCTTTGATTTGTATTCCCTCTACAGCCTGGAATAAGTGGCAGAACTAGCAGTGTCACAACAGTGACTGGGCCCTGGCACTCCACCACTGTCGTAATATCATTAGTCTGTATTGTTTTAGAAAAAAACTGTCACATGACACTAAACAAAAAAGGTATTGGCGGGTACTTGAGGAAAAGTATTAGTATTCGTACTCTGGAAAAAATGGTATCTGTGCATCACTATATAGAAGGATACCCTGTGAACTTTAAGAATGCTGGACGCTACCTTGTTCCCCCTAGTTTACAGGAATTCCAGTACAGGGGTGAGTTTCTTGTACTAACTGCTGTTACTGTGGGCCCAGCACAGGTATGTTTTCCAGATCTTGCAGATGGTCCTAGTGACCGGATTTCTGTCACATTGTTGGAAAAACCTGTCTCTAAGTATCCTATTTTCAGGATCCAGGCTGCCATTTGCATCTCCCACAGATGAGGGTGTAGGACTCGATGCTCCCAAAAAGGAGGCATCTCCTGTCACAACATTGGGGGTTCTAATGCCTACTTGCATAAAAATCCCCCCCCCAAAGTCATAGGGAAACAATCAGGATGATTCTGAATTGTTCAATCTTGGTTTTCTTGTCCACATTCCCTAGAAGTCCCATTTCTTTCTCGCTCCTCCTTTATCCATTTTCTGCGGCTTTTGGTTATTATTTTGAAAGGGATGTCTATTGTTGTACATCTGCCCTTATTCTTGTTTCCAATCACTTTAGTATCTTTTTAGCTCCGGACCGGAAGCTAGCCTTCTGTCTAATGGAAGCTCACTGAGTTTACGTTTGGAAGTTGCATCACCCACCCAGGTCTTGTGCCTTACTACCCGGCGTATAATAAAAGTTTACCAAGGTGGTGGTGCGAGGGATCATGCATAAAGCCTCTGCTGATCCATCTGCCATAAATGCCACTGCTTTAGAAATTAAGTGAATAGACGCCATAGTATTATCTCCTACATACGTTTGAAATACATGGCAAGAGAGGTGTCCAGTTAAGGGCACTAGACTTGGAACTTTGCAGTCTTCATCAAAGGGAAATTTTCTCTGCATGCTTCCATGAGTATGATGTTCCTCACTGACTGGTACATGGGGAAACAATGCCGAGTTGTTTCCTCCAAGCCCCTGTACAGTTTGACCTTAATGGATTTGACCTTTGTCTGTTTTTGCTCCGTACAGTATATCGCTGTGAGTAGTTCTTCAGTTTTATTGACTATAAGCATATATCTTGTAGGGCTGCAACAACTAATCGATGACAATAGTTGGCAACTATTCTCATCATAGATTAGTGGTAGGAGAGGAGAGAGATTTTTGTAGACAACCAATTGATTAGTTGAAAAAATAATCGGGCAACTAATCAATTATAAAAATAATCGTTAGCTGTAGCCCTAATATCTTGAAGTACAGAATATTTCCCTTTCCTCATTTTCTCCATCTTCTGAGGCTGAAAATCTGGAGGAAAATTCTTCACCTTCCTTCGAAAAGTTCACAGAGTCCACCTTCACTTAAGACTTGCTTGGTATTTTATGCAACAGGGATTTGGATGACAACTGGGCAGGTCCCGCAGTTTGCAAAACTGGAGGTGGGTGTTTAACATCTTCTAGTACTGAACATAAGGATTTTGGTGTGGAGGAGATCTTATGTTATAGGGTGCACAAATGATTTCCATCTTCTGAGGCTGAAAAGATAAGTCACCAACCCGACAAGACACTCTTGGTCCAGGAGTTTCTTCCACGAGCTTGAGAGCTTAGAACCACATCCCCTTTTGGTTTTCTCTGATGGTAGGTCCTGAGATCTGGCCTACAACTCAGAAAGGGTACACAGCCAGTACAGCCCTTAGGTACCTAACCAGCAGCCGTAGGCTTTGGGGGCAGTTTGAGGCGACATCACCACTCTAAGGCCTCCATTAAGTGTACCAACACCAATGAGTGCTAGGTAACCTTGTATGGTGATAAGGCCCCAACATTCTCTACAACCCCAATGGTCAACATGCATCCACAGAGAGGAGGGTGTTATCACTGTGGAATCGATGCCTTACTCCACAGGAGCTGCTGCATTAGGTTCCAGCATAATAAAAAGCACACGATGCAGGACTGAAGATCTGGACCACCAAGCATCCCCTGATCCTGCACCAGCTTTGGCAGCCATGTCCCAGGCTTTGACTGCTGCTGTGAGTGCTCCCACAAAAGGAGCCCATAAACAGTTGCTCCTATACCCAGTGACGAGAAGTCACAAGCATCAATTCTGGACCCATCCTTCCCCTGCCCAGTCCAGGATAGACCGGAAACGGCCCAGTTGCAAGCACCCAGAGTTCCAGCATGGACAAGCCTACACCACATAATGTGCGCATGTCCTGCCAATGTCACTTCCACGCACCTTTCTTTGCACAAGAAGTCTCAAGCACTCATAGAAGAACCACATGAACTGAAAGAAGGTAACATCAAACAAGGGGCAGACAGAGTCTGAATGTGGTCCTAGAAGAACAACGGTGTAGCATGTGACTCCTGCCAGACACCCTTCAACTGATTCCTCTGCTACATGGACTGTTTGCAGGAAACACAACAACTGAAGGTGATGGCTTCTGGGAGCCTTTTAAACTGTGATCTTTTGTTTCCCGCAGGTGGACCGAGCTATCTCTCTTGTGAACCATCCAGGAGGATGTTTTAGAAAAGTAGAGCTACTTGAAAACACTTTATCTGCAAACTATGCCAAAGGGAATGAGTGAAAAAGTCAACAGGGTCAAAAAAATTTGTGGGAGAAAAAATGCACATAATTGGCTTCTGGCAATGATAAAAGCAATACCGGCTTGTTAGTGTTTATTTTTATTTATATCTATGAATTGGTAATGTACTGTATAGTTTTAATTAAATCTACATCTAAGAAACAAAACATAACAGCAAAAAAAAAATTAAATAAAAAATTTGGGAGGTTACAAGTAATTGATACTTACAGTTGGTCCTTTGGTTTTCTGCAGCCATGTAAGAATTTTGGTCAAGGAAAAAGTATTAATGTTAGTGTAATTTTGTAGATAAACAGATGAACAGTAACAGCAAGCAGTTTGGCACTTTACCAAAATACACAAGAGTTTTATCAGTACAAGTACACAAAGTCAAGGTCAAAACTTCCTGATTAGAAAAGCTACAACTAGAATGAGAAAATAATCAGCTATCATAATATGTAAAACACAACTACTTCTACTTTTTTACAGCATGATCTTTCATGGCACTGTAGAAAAGTAATAAGGTTTCTCCAGAGGCATTTTTTATACAGTTGTATAGAAAAACATAATAACGAGAAACTATTCAAAAGACAAAAAGAGCACTGCCATTTGAACTACAAGTAATAAACAAAGCTCATTTCATTTTAGAGCACAGACTTTGATGCTAATAATTTATAATTACATTTTCAATAGAACTATATTTTTGTGACTAGTACTGCCATGATTGTATTTTTCACTGTAACAGCACCATCTCCACCTAAGGCTTAGGGTTAAGCATTAGAAGTAGGGGGTCAGGTTGAAGTTAAAATACAGTGGTACCTCGGTTCACAAACTTAATTTGTTTCACGATTATGGTCGCGAACCTAATCAAACTGTGATCAGACCGCGATCTCGTCTAGAGGAAGCCACGACCATGTGTCAGAGCAGGGAAGATGGCTGTGGTTGTGTTGGTCACTTGATGCGGAGTTCGCAAACTGAAGCAAAATGTTGACAACTTCCTGTTCGCGAACAGAAGCGTTCGTGAACCGAGGTGCTATGTATCAGTAAATTACATTCTGGGTGTGAAAAAAATCATTTAGCAGACTTGATAAGTGTATAGTACACATGATCAAAGCTATCTGTGCGGAAAGTTCAAGCGACAGAAAAACAAAGCCAGAAGCTGAAAACCAACGCACCAAGGAAAGAAGGTGGACAATGGACAGTTTTCCAGCTAGACAACAGATGTGCCATTTGTAGTTGAGATCTGCACTTTAAAGCCAATCTCTGTAGAAGTAAGAAGACAGTCAGTAAAAATCTGAACACTCCACATCTGACATAACACAAGCCTTTCCTAGTGACATAATTATTGACAGACTGTAAAGGAAACCTGTACTAAGAAAATAAGTGAATAGTCAATGCTGAACTTTCCTTCTGAAAATGTTAGTCTTCTGGCTGTTACACAGGCTTTAGTACTTTAGTCACTGATCTGGAAGTATGCAGATCAAGAATTCTGAATTTCTCTAACTGCATGCTTGAGATAAGAAAGAAAGAAAGAAAGCATTGAAGTCAGAAGGCAGTCCAGAAGGTGGTCAGCAATGGCACGTCTTTGTACTTAGTCTTAGTAGAGGTTTCCTTTAGTAAGGAAACAAGTCAAACAGGAAAACAGTAACTAAGAAGAAAATTACTTACCAAATACTATATAGAAAATATATTTTTAAAGGATATAGTAAGGATTTTCTAACAACAGGGAAGCCATTCCAGCCTCTTTGAGCATTGGGCGGGCCATTAGGGTTCTTCTCCTCCAAAAAGACTATATGCCAAGAAACAAAGTACATTGCATTCATGTATACCATTTATAGACAACGTTTGAGCATTCTTAAGACAAAGGCCAAAGCAGAACTGCAGGTCTTGGGTTTAGAAATTTTGCCGTTTTATTATTGACCTCTTCATGCATATGTTTACGTATGAAACAATTGAGCAGATTCCATATGTATTTTCCTAGTTCAAGTTCCAAAAATAAAAGAACATCTGAACTGCTTCTAGGGGCAACACAAAAACATTGTTTTAAACACAATAATAATGCACATAACACAGAGATATAATTAAGAGAATAATCACATAGACCCCATGTCCCCTCTACTATCAGTTACATATGTGGCAGTGTCCATTCTGTTTGATGGTTTGAACACCGAAACTAGAAAACCCATGAAAGCAAAATGCATATACTTGGGTCTCAATAAAAACCATCGCAGAAAGCCCTCTTCATTTTTGACTATGTTCCCTCATATTAATGTAAAATGTGGGGGTCTATTCATAAAAGAGTCTTGTGTAGAAACGCCACCAGCACGACAGTGCAAATCCATGTATTGATGTCAGTCATCAGAGTGTCATCAAATGCTTTCGGGGCCACGCAGGGTCCCCTTCATCAGGCTCAGAGTAAACATTTCATAAAAGATATCTTGTCAGATTCCCACATTGAATGTTTGTTGGACAGTCATCTTTAATTGTATTGAAGTTACCCATCATTTTCAGAAGAGTCACCCTATTCGCCCATTATTTTCAACGAGGCTCCACCCATCACATTTTAAAACATGCACTTATCAACTGTCGCATACAAGATGAAAGAGAGATTCTAATAGCAAACAAGATTTGCCCATCACATTTAAATTCAACAAGATTTGCCCCTTAGCAGTTGACAACACATAATAGAGAGATTTCAGTACAAAACTAGATTTGCCCATTCAGCCATAATGTGCCCTATTTGCCCATCATTTAAAAACAGGATATTCCTATAGAATATAGAATTCCTATAGAATCTCTGTATTAAGTCATATGAAATTTCAGATGGGTGCATCTTTTTTAAATAATGGATGAATCCATTATATATAGACCCCTATAGGAAGTTAGACTTACATGGTCACCTGTACCAGCCAGATGAATGCACACAGGCCTGTACTTGCTCTTCCATTCTTTAGGCACTATAAACTGAAACCTATAAAACAGAATAGTGTTCTGACTAACATAATAAAAACAATATACCAGATATATTACCTTGCATGAATATAACTATTCATCATTGCTTTTTACTTCCAATGACATGGAAGATGGAGTTATTTGTATTCATCATAAAATACAATTCTCTTTTGGATAAACATCAGAGGTCTTTGGCGTCCCCCAGCGACGAAAAAGAGAAATAAATAATACAAGCAGAAGAAGGAAAAACAAATTGGCATATGTATTTATACATGCACATTTCACAATCTGCGAATTATACTTTGACTACTATGAAATCCGAAAACAAATCGGAGAGAGGAAGAAGTGGATACATATAATCAGCTGTTCCTACAACCAATCAGCTTTAATAAGGGACAATAAACATGGGGTGGCCACACATAGCTAAGTACTGCCACTAACACACAATGAGCAAATGTCTCATCAAATAGGCAGCTTAGGAAACATATATCTCTGAATAACTGACATGCTTCCCTGCTTTGAATCTGTAGCCATGCCACTAAGACCCATTGCAATCTTTCCAGGAGAGTTGCTGAAGGGACTGCAGTGGGTCCTGTCACTAAAGTGACCGATTCCAAGCAGAGTAGGTGTCTCATTGTCTTTTGTGTTTTATAAGACCTCTAGAAAAAAACACTGCATTTTGGGAAGGTCAGCAGCCAAACTTACCGTGCTATGACCGACTCACTGGGCATAACATCTGGCACATAGTGAACTAAAGGTGAGGTAAAATGTCCATTGAGAATCTTGCAATCTGTTTGTTCTTCAACCTAAATCAAAGCACAAAACATAATCACAAGTTATAGGTTGTTACAGAAAAAGAAAACTGATCTATTTTCTAGCCACACAGATAAATAACAGGCTGGGTTAGGGGTTAGTAAGCACATGTGCCTGGGTAGGCACACAATGCCTTCTCCACTGGCATGTAATGCCATTGGCTGTAATTAACAGCTACTTAGGCTGTCTGTTAGAAAGTCTGGTCAACCCAACTGTCTGATGTCAGTGAAAGCACGCTGGTGGCTAAGGATGTCTGTGTGCTGTTCTGAGGGAGCCCGGCTTCCTGCCCTTCCACCAGCTAGCACACACGCCTGCTGTACCCTAATCTATGATTGAAACTGGGATTAAGTGTGTTATGTCATCAGCTACATCATGCGGGCGAGAAGGAGGGAGGGGAGCTGGTAGATGAAGAAGATGGTATAGTTCCTGCCACAGATAGTTTATGGGCTTTGTAGTATATTGACAGATGCCAGCATAGTGTGAAGTGGGAACAAGTACTGGTACTTGCGCGTGCACCAGTAAATTCGTTTTTGCACCTATTATTGTACTGTTAATGAGAAGCTAAACTCAATGATCAAATAATAAATGTGTTTAACTTATCACTAACGAGTGCAAACCCTGAAAACTAGGGATGCACCGATATCGTTTTTTCGGTATCGAGTACCGATATTTATATTTCGGTACTCGCCGATACCGAGTAGCGATACTTCCGGTAGCATAGAGCCGGCTTCCCGGGCAATCAGGTGGTGTGTCATTACCCACCGACCGGCTTCTAGATTGCCCGGGAAGCCGACTCCATGCCGAATTGGCCGGGAAGCCTGCTTCCCAGCCAATCGGCATCGAGGCCGGCCAAACAGATGTGACAATATGGTGACACAACCTCCACCCTACAAACACCTCATTCCCCGCACATCAATCCTCAGCAGCATTCATTACCGCACCACAGATGTCCCTCGGCCAGCTGGGCAGACACCACTCTCCCGGATCTGCCCACGTTACCTGTGTGTACAGCGCCCATGTGATCGGCCCTCAGCCTGCTACTGCGCAGACTGCCCAGTGTTGTCATTCAGACACCCTCTAACAGCATCAAGCAGGTGGTGCTGGCGCTGTGCACACAGGAGGCGTGGGCAGATTCGGGAGAGCTTGGAGAGCGGTGTCTGCCCAGCTGGCTGAGGGACTGGTCCGATAATGACTGCTGCTGAGGATCTATGTGAGGGAAATGATTTGTCTGCAAGGTGGGGGTTGCATCACCATATTATCAGATTTGTTTGCCCGGCTTGTTGCTCATTGGCTGGGAAGCTGGCGTCCCGGGCAATCAGCATCGAGCTGGTCAAACAGTATGGAGCCAGCTTCCCGGGTCCATGTTCCCTCGTGGCACTGCCAGTCAGAGGAAATCTCCCTCTGCCTGGAAGTTCCAGTATCGGGAAAGGTATCGGAGCAGTTGAGCGAGTACGAGTATTCGCCCAAATACTCGGTATTGGCACCGAGACTATGGCATGTTATTGTTCACTGGCACACTGGTTGTCTAAAGCTGGTAAAAGTGGAAAAAGTTGCTGAGCCCTGGGCTAGGTTTCATTGATCCAAATTCCACAGCAGTAGAACCAAGATGAAACCAGCAGTAATATACTAATTGTGCATGGGCAACCTAAGTAAATGGAAGCCTTACCTTGTCAACATACACCGGGTAATCCTTAGGAACCAGATGCTGACATGTTTCTCTATTTCCAATAATCTTACGAAATTCAAATATTCTGTAAACATAAATATAAACTGACGATAAGAGCAGTGGTCCTTCGCACCATATACATTTTATCCAAGCTGTGCACATTATAAACACCTATTTACAATACAAACATCTCACTGAAGCAGAAGGAAATAGACTTTAGCTCTGCTGGTCCTCCCTGAGCTCACCTTTACAAAAAATGACTTTTTAGCATTAAAAAAAAAATCAGTGATGAAAAATATATTTTAAATTGCTCAACAAACATAATAATTTTCTATTCAAGTAGTGTTATCTGACATAACAAATGTACATCAGAAAGAGTTCTGCTTCTTCGTATGCAATGCTATCATGATGATGGGGAGGGGGGGGTGATGGTATCATGATGATGGGCGGGATGATGGTATCATGATGATGGGCGGGATGATGGTATCATGATGATGGGCGGGATGATGGTATCATGATGATGGGCGGGATGATGGTATCATGATGATGGGCGGGATGATGGTATCATGATGATGGGCGGGATGATGGTATCATGATGATGGGCGGGATGATGGTATCATGATGATGGGCGGGATGATGGTATCATGATGATGGGCGGGATGATGGTATCATGATGATGGGCGGGATGATGGTATCATGATGATGGGCGGGATGATGGTATCATGATGATGGGCGGGATGATGGTATCATGATGATGGGCGGGATGATGGTATCATGATGATGGGCGGGATGATGGTATCATGATGATGGGCGGGATGATGGTATCATGATGATGGGCGGGATGATGGTATCATGATGATGGGCGGGATGATGGTATCATGATGATGGGCGGGATGATGGTATCATGATGATGGGCGGGATGATGGTATCATGATGATGGGCGGGATGATGGTATCATGATGATGGGCGGGATGATGGTATCATGATGATGGGCGGGATGATGGTATCATGATGATGGGCGGGATGATGGTATCATGATGATGGGCGGGATGATGGTATCATGATGATGGGCGGGATGATGGTATCATGATGATGGGCGGGATGATGGTATCATGATGATGGGCGGGATGATGGTATCATGATGATGGGGGGGGGGATGATGGTATCATGATGATTGGGGGGATGATGGTATCATGATGATTGGGGGGATGATGGGGTGATTTGTAGCTCCTTGAGGGCCAGAGTTTGCCCACTCCTAGTTTAAATTGATGTTACAGGTAGAACGATTACCGCAGAGAATTATGGAAGATGACTAACACTACTATGAATAACCAAGCACACCATCTCCCATGAATTATATTTCAGCTCTATAATCATACCGCTTTAAATCTTCAGGTTTTCCCCATCCGCGGATGAAAAACTTTGTTAGGAGCAACCGCCTGTACAGCACATCTAGTTTACTCAAACCCATTTGGGTATGTCACATCTGGAAAAAGAAATCAATGACAAATATTACATAGTGAAAGGCATTAGTCCATATGATTTACATTAGTCCTTTCACCCAATCAGCTTCAGTCTAATGTGCCTGTCCCATTCATTGTCACAAACACTGCAGGCAATTACATGCATGTTTTAGAACTTTGCATAGGAGAACATACAATCATGCTGTGGTGGGAATAAAATCCACAACATCAGTGCTTCAAGCCAATAATAGTGTACATGCCGATCATGGTACCCACTGAGTTCCAGGGCACTTAATATGCAAATACTGACACTTTCTGGCAGTGTCGCTAACTGATAGGTCCCCTCCTGCCCCTTACTTTTGGGCAATAAGGCTGCCCATCATAGCACTGGCTAAAAAGGAGGGTGCAGGAGGTAGCCATTGGCATGTCCAGTGAGCATTTGAGTGAATTTGAAAGGAATCTGTTCGAACAGAACTAGGAGTGCTGCTAATGCTGTCTGTTTTTGAAGGTAAATGCTTCAGGACCTGTTCACATGATTTTCAGGTCCTGGTCAGAGGTGTGGATCTGGAGACGCGGTGCTAAACATTTTTTTTTCTGGAGTGGGGCTGTCAGTATATTAGCTGCAGTGCAGTGCGTTTTTGACGCGTTTTGCGTTTCCGGACCGTACAAAATGTGACATGCAGTATTTTTTCTGTCGTAACCTGAACGGACTGCGCACGTGAGAACTGTAGCCCATAAAACACATAGGGATACATTGGGATGCATTTTTAGTGCAGGAGCGTACGGATCAGGTCAGCACAGAAAACGGATGTCGTGTGAACAGGCCCTTAGCGTTCTTTTCTTGTTGCAGAACAATCTCTTGCATATCAGGTATCCTAACACCTGACAGGAACATGCCTGTTCCAGGTCAATGATTCAACTAGTACTAAGGGGAGATTAAACTGCAACTGAAGCCAAAACCTGTTTTTTTTTTAAAGTTTCGGATAAAGTGGGGAGGGTTTGGAACTCCTGTCAGGTTGTTATTGCCCCATTAGGAAGATGTATCCTCTCTATTTCCCCTGGTGATCGTTACCACTGAAAGTGAAACAAAATCCCAAATGTTGTTATCAGAGCAGGAATAGATGGAAATCTTCCAATGGGGACACTAGTTCCGATGTCCCTGCTGACCACCAGGGATTTCTCTCTCTTTGGAGGGATTTCCTCTCACTTGCTGTTGTGGCTATCACAGGAAGTGAGGGGAAATCTTCCTAATGGTGCTCAGATGGCAAAAAAAATTATAAAAGAAACGGACAGAGTTGTAACCCTTTGAAGGGATTTCCTCTCACTTCATGTTGTGCCTATTAGACAGGAAGCAAAGGGAAATCTCTCCAATGGGACGCACATGACACAAAAAAAATAAAAATGATGGGGGTTATAAATAATCCTCCCTTACTCTAATTAAGGCCTGGTTCACACCTGTACGTTTTGTAGCGCGTTCAACGCTCTACGAACGCTCTACAAAACGCTCAAACATGAAAATCCCATTGTTTTCTATGGGTATGGTTCACACCTTGACGTATTTCAGCCTGTCTGAACGCTCTACAAAACGGCCTACGCCTGAAAAGGTACATGAGCTTCTTTGCGGCGTTTTTGTAGCGCGTTTCCATTGGTATACAGCCAAGTAGCCCTCAGAAACGCGCGTTTGGCGAATCGCGGTAAAAATGCATGAGAAACGCGCATATTCGATACGCCTAGGTGTGAACAGAGCCTAAGGGCCTGTTCACAAGACGTCCGTTTTGTGTGCTGACCGGCTCCGTACGCTGCTGCACTCAAAATGCATCCCAACGTATCCCTATGTGTTTTATGGGCTCCAGTTCTCACGTGCGCAGTCCGTTCAGCTTACGACAGAAAAAATACTGCATGTCACATTTTGTCAGGTCCGGAAACGGAACGGATACGCAAACGCGTCAAAAACGCATCAAAAACGCACTGCGCTGCAGCTAACATACTAACAGCCCCACTCCAGCTGGAGCGCATCAAAAACGCGGCCAAAAACGCAATGCATCAGCAGCTCCACGTCTGCTGATCAGGACCTGATTTCATGTGAACAGGCCCTTAAACTACAGCAATAAAGGTTTTGGCTTCAGACAACCCCAGTACCTGCACCTTCAACTCCAAGTTTTCCAGACAGCAATTAGCAGTTCATTGATTTTACCTGTAACTTTTTTTAAAACACAGTCTCTTGAGGGCCCAGTCAACACATTAAATTGATCACCTTTTCTGGGTTTTGTAACTTTATTTAAATGTCAAAACGTGACACTTCATTCATTTCTATGCACAGCAGTGGATGGGCTTCAGAAAGCACTGTGTAAATTGTCAGCACTATATAAATGCCGATAATAAGACTAACAACAATAATAATAATCAGTGATGATGACTTGGCTTTTATAACTGCATAAAAATGCATCAAACAATAACAAAGACAAAACGATACCATTAAGGTGCATATTTCGAAAAGCAATAAATGTGAAATTCAACAAACATTCACTGCAGGTGAATCGATTACCATCGAACTCTGGGCAAAAGTGTTATTAACCCTTGTAGTTGGGCTACCCCCGCACTGCAAGGATTATCTGCTTTTTTCTAGGTGCTAAAATATATATATAGATATCTATATATATATCTATATATATATAGATATCTATATATATATATATATATATAAAGGATATACTCACCCGAAGCACTGAGCCAGCTCCCTGGTTCTCCGGTCTTTGGAGTCTGTCCTCTCCTACGCTACTGCATTGGAATGTTCCTCTGCATCCTCACGTCTATACACGGTGTATAGAGCATGATGATTTACGGACCTTAGACCGCTGCAAATCGACTCACAGGATGGGGTGAGTCTAACTTTTTTAGTATTTTTAGTACCAAGACAAAAATGAGCAATTAACCCTTGCAGTGCAGGGACAGCCCAACTGCAAGCGTTAAAGGAGAACTATGAGATGAGTGATTTCCACTCACCTCATAGTTCTAGCCGATCTGTGACAATGAGACTGTCACAGGTCGGCTCAGTAGATCAGGAGGTGAGCGAACACATACCGGGTTTGCTCACCTCTCGATCCTGTCACAGCTCTCTGCCGTGACAGGGGGAAGGGCTGGATTGCCCTTTCCCCACTCCAATCTGCCAGCGCTGACTGGCAGAACGGACGAGGGAGGGGGCGGGTACAGCTGGCTCTGCCTCTAGATAGGCAGAGCTAGCTGTCACTCACGCAGCTGGGCGGATCCCATCATCTACGTCGGGATCCGCTCCGGCGTCTCAGTATACTGCGAGCTGTAGCTCGCGGTATACTGAGCTTAGGGTGACGGGAGGACACTAGTTTGTGTCCTCCCGTTACCCTTAGGAGAACTATGGGGAAAAACACTGACCCCATAGTTCTCCTTTAAGGAAAATTCTGCCTGGAGTTCTGCTTTAAACACACACACCAGCAGTTAATGTTTGGGGAATATTTGAAAAATGTTTATATATATATATACACACACACACACACACACA